CTTTGGGGTCGGCACTAAACCCCGGACTTGAGTGCTTGTGTCTTTTAATTTCAACAAGAACTACTCTCGATTTGGTTTGGTTCAGAGTGAATCAAGTTGAGATTGAGCTTATTCTGAGCTAATCGGAATATATAGGTATCACAGAATCTCTCTAAATTGTCTCGGGTTAACACTAGCTTTTAATTTATCTTTTTGGATTCTAATTCAAGTATATATTATTGGGCCGGCTTTGATTCTTGTTTGCTTTGAAATTCTCTTCTTTGCGATTGAGGCCTCCCTCTAAAGTGTAAACAGTAAACTTTTTGAGTAATGAGCCAATAGAAAAAGGTTTCATTAATGCTTTCTAACAAATTTACAGAGTACTTTCACTAATTATTGACTTTTTTCTTGAGTCGGCTCTAGCTCTTTGGAAGATAATAAGTATTTTTATTATTGACGTTCATCAACGAATTACAATTTGAGGAACTTGAGGTAAAAAGGGGTTGATTTAAACAAAACTTGGGTACCACTAAGCTTAATTGAGAACCCATAAAAATCCTAACCCCAAGTATCAAGGACCATTTAATCACTGTCTGATGATCACCACTTTTGCCGTTAATTTAGAAAAATTTCGGACGGATATATGTCGAATATCTATGAAAAATGGGTCAACATATGCCCAAATATCTAGAGCCGGTTTGGAGCCACAGCCATGCCATAATGTAAAAATAAGAAACTTTGGCTTAGGGTATTTTTTCACTACGAAAATTAAAGGGCATATTTTTATTGTTTCATTTAGTTAAACTATCAAATAATAAAATTATAGAAACAAATTAAAATAAACAAAACATGGATCTACTGTCTACATGATAAAAATTACGGACTTCCAATGGTCAAGTAACTAAAATTTATAGAAACAATTTTTAAATGTTAAAGTAAAGTAAAGTAAACATAGAATTAGATTGTTACATAACAGAGTGAATCAATGATTTGACTATTTTATTTTTGTTCAAGTACAGTACATAAAAAAATAATTACTTTATCCATCAAAAAAGTTAGTTGAAAGTTTTGATTTTGAAAATTTAATTAACAATTTTGTTGAACAAAAAAGAAAGAAATTAGGTTTATAATTAATATTTTGTTTGCAAGTTTTTTGTTTTTTTTTCTTTCTATATGACGATGATATTTATTATTATGAATAATTTATTTTTATGAATTGAGGCATCATATTTTCTAATCGTTTCGGGCATCCGTATATGTTGGCACAGCTCTGTTTGGAGCCAACCACTATATCATAATCTGTTACAATGGTAGAGTTCGACCATATACCAATGCGGTCTCAAGAAAAGTGTTGTTGCTGCTATGTAAGAAAAGGGTAAATCGAAAGAAAATGAAGTCTTTAATGATTGAACAAGCTGAGATGGACACAAGAACATGCTTTAATAGCGTTTAAAGAGAGAGTATTTCTAGGATTTGAGTAGAGATTTATTCGGATTTAGTATCTGTAAAGATGGAATTCACGTGTGTATTAAAAAAAAAAAAGAGTGATTCAATCCTTATAATAAGAAAATGTACGCCGCATATATGAGAAAGGTTTTTTGTGTTAAATCAAGAATAAGAAACTCGATAAAGTTATGTAACTTGGGAAGTTATTATTAAGAGATTGGCTAGATCCTGGAAACCTTGTAAGACTTGAAAATAGATCTGATAAACTAAGCTGTGTCTTGTTGTTGAACATATCTGTTTAAGTCAAATGTGGAGAGGTTCGAGTTTGGGGTGTACCCAAAAGAACCAAAAACGATAGAAACCCAAAACGAGAATTCTACTATGCAAAATTTATGCTATTTTAAAAATGGAC